GCTATTGAAAGATTATGACATCAATATCCTTTATCACCCGGGCAAAGCTAATGTGGTAGAAGATGCACTTAGTAGGAAGCCAATGGGTATCTTGGCCCATCTTGCAGTACAAAGGCGATCTTTGGGTCGAGAAATTCAAAAACTAGCAAATTATGGAATTAGATTGGATGAGACCGAAGAAGGAGATATAACTACTTATGCCTTAGCGTAATCCTCCCTTGTTGTGCATGTTAAGGCTAAGCAAGACGAAGATCCGTACTTATTGAAGTTAAAAGAAGGAGTCAAAAATAAAAAAAAATCATTGCCTTCACTCTAGGAAGTGACGGAGTTTTAAAGTTGAATGATCGGTTATGTGTGCCTGATGTAGATAGTCTTAGGAAGGCCATAATGGAAGAAGCTCACAGTTCGAGATACTCTATCCATCCAGGTGCTACCAAAATATATCTAGACTTGAAAGAGTTGTATTGGTGGAAAGGCATGAAGAAACAAGTAGCAGATCATGTGGCTAAATGTTTGAATTGCCAGCAAGTCAAAGCCGAGCATCAGAGGCCGGGTGGCCTAGCTCAAGATATAGAGATACCACAATGGAAGTGGGAGATGATTAATATGGATTTCGTAGTAGGTCTACCTCGCACGTATCGTAAGCATGATTCAATTTGGGTTATTGTAGACCGACTGACAAAGTCTGCGCATTTCCTACCAGTAAAGACGACAGATTCCGTAGAGCAGTATGCGCAGTTGTACATCAAAGAAATAGTCCAATTGCATGGTACTCCAGTTTCAACCATATCCGACAAAGGCCCTCAGTTTACGACGCATTTTTGGCAGGCATTTCAGAAAAGATTAGGTACCAAGGTCAATTTAAGCACTGCCTTCCATCCACAGACCGATGGCCAGGCAGAAAGAACCATTCAGACTCTCGAAGATATGTTGCGTGCGTATGTTATAGATTTTGGAGGTAATTAGGATGATCACTTGCCACTTATAGAATTTGCTTACAATGACAGTTATCAGGCTAGCATTGGTATGGCTCCTTATGAAGCGTTGTATGGGCGGAAATGTAGGTCTCCAGTGGGTTGGTTTGAACCAGCAGAGGTGTCGTTGATTGGTCTAGAGTTTGTTTGTAAGGCCTTGGAGAAAGTTCAGCTAATTAGAGAAAGACTTAAAGCGGCTCAGAGTCGTCAAAAGTCTTATTCTGACAAGAGGCATCATGAGTTAGAGTTCATGGTTGGTGATAAGGTGTTTTTGAATGTTTCACCAATTAAAGGAGTTATGAGGTTTGGTAAGAATGGAAAACTTAGCCCTAGATTTATCGGACCTTATGAAATTCTAGAAAAGAAAGGAAACGTGGCTTATAAGCTAGCGCTACCCGTTGAGTTGTCCTCTGTTCATCCTGTCTTCATGTGTCTATGCTTAGAAAGTACATCCATGATGAGTCGCATATAATACCTGCCGATACCATAGAAATTAAGTAAGGTCTGACTTATGAAGAGGTACTTATAGAAATTCTCGATAGACAAGTAAGAAAGTTGAGAACAAAAGATATAGCATCGGTAAAAGTTTTGTTGAGTAATCTTGATTCAAAAGAAGCTACGTGGGAGGTCGAGGAAGATATGAGAAAGAAATATCCATATTTATTTGAGGAAAAAGGTATGTGAACCTAGGTTTGGATTGACATTTATATTTCATTTATTAAATACAAGTTAGTAAGTGTTTATGTCCTTCCTAGATTATATTTAGTTGTTGTAGTGATTTAGTTTATGCCAGAGTACATTTAATTCATTAGAGTGATTTACTTTTGCTAAAGTGTTGTGCTTTAGATTCTTGTTAGTTATTGTGGTACCTCCTTGCCGAAGTATGAGTAATTAATTTATGAGCTGTGTATGGTGCCTATGAATAGCCTGTTATGGTATATTTGGGTGTTGTTGGTGTAGTTATGGTATTTATGGAAGGGATATTGTTTTGGGTAGTCCAATTTACAAGGGAAACTCTGCCGAAATTTTTGAAAATTTAGGGAGTTAGCCAAAATTTTGCGTCCCTTATAAAAATGAGTAGTGCAAAGAAAACTTAAAAGGTTCAAGGACTTAAGGAATGATTGTTAGCTTAAGAACAAGGCCCTAGTAACATTCGAGGACGAATGTTTTTAAGGAGGGAAGATTGTAACACTCCTCAAATATATAAAAGTTTCAAGACACGCGAAATATAGAATTTAATTATTTATTTATTTATAATCTTAAATTCTACTTCTATTACGGACTAAAATCCTTGTGATTAATTTTGAGTTACTTCCCTATTTATAAATAATTGGATGTACAATTAGCGAAATATTAATAATTTTAATGTTATTAATTATTAAAAGTAAGTATACTTAAATGTTAGTTAAGTCAAAAAAATAATTACCCTAAAGCCCATAAAAAGGCTGTTGTAAACAAAGGCTTAAAGCCTTATACAAACAAAAAAAAAAAAAAAAAAAAAATTAATTAAGCAAAAGAGAGTCACGTGACTCAAGCTAAAAGGTTTGAAGGGAACAAAGAAAAGGGCTTATGCCTTAGAGATCAGAAAACAGAGAAACAGGCACACGGTATTACAAGAGGCAGCAGAAATTTCACGAAAAATTATAGGGTTCTTCATAAATCACTAAATCTTGAACTCATGTACATAGAATTTTCTATTCTCAATTATCCTAAAGTAGTAGTAGGTAAGAATAGAATAGTTAATCTTCTTCTTCCTCTATATCAACAATAAATTTTATGTTTAGGTGTGAAACTTTAAAATTGATTAATATGCACTGGTTGTTATAGAATCGATTGTTTGACTGGTGTCAATTAGACTGGGGTCTATGTATTTGCTCGAGAAGTTTTGAGCTGAGTTGATATAACCCTTTACTAAAGTTGTTTAACTCACAAAAACACGCACACAAGGTGTTTGATGAATTGCATAAAAGAGTTAATATATACTTAATGGGAGTAGTAAGTACCTATTAGCTTTGAATTATTTTCTAGCTAAAGTTTAGATGATTATTTGGATCTATGTGCATAAATTTCAGATTTTTATGTTATTCTTATATGTTATTTTCATGTTGAAAACTCATGAAGGATCAAGAACCTTTATAAATACTTTTGAATGTTTATTTCATTCTTATGTCATGCCTTACATTTAAGGATACTAGTATGAGTATGTATAAAAGATTTAGACTTGAAAAGTCACAAGAAGAAGTTTTAGAAAGAAAAGATTTTTGGGGAGTATCTTTTATTCTGAGAAGGGGTCATCGTCCAAGCCTAGGGTCCTGACCAAGGCGTTGACTTCCTGAAACCACTTATGCCAAAGTAGGGAGCACACGAGCCGAGGGTCTCGTTGCTGAGAATTTACTTAGCCATGCTAAGGTATGGGACATGACCGCTGAGAACCATGAAGCGAGTGGCACCTCGTGGATTGGGCCTATTCGATCAGGTTGGGATCGAACCCGTGCCGATCACACGGTGACTAAGACAGAATTAAGTCAGGATAGTTGGAACTCCCAATATATAAAGTGAAGTATTTTTTTTATGAGTAAGAAAAAGAAAAGAATTTCTTTTAGAATATTCATGAACTGCTATTATGCAATTATTTTAGAATTATTCTTATAAGCTTTATGTTTTACATGCATTTAGAACCTTTGCTCATAATGTATATGTTATTAAAGTTTCGCCCCCTGTTGTTGAGACTCACTGAGTACAATGGATGATACTGACGTTCTCTTTTGGGAACCTACGTTGGTCTGCGGTACAACGTAGGAACCGGATTTGCAGGCGAGCAAGCTACGAGTTAAGACTTCCTTCTCTTCCAGTGCTATTGGTGAGCTCCGCTTTTATTCGTGGAGTATTCCTTAGAGTCATCTTTATTTAGTTATTTCTTTGTTATTTATAGCCTGTTTGGCCAAGCTGGAGAAATTAACTTATTTTGAGAAGTGCTTTTGAAAAAAGTACTTTTGGAGAGAATCAGTTTGTGTTTGGCTAATCAGTATGAAAAGCACTTTTGAGAAATAATTTGTGTTTGGCCAAGCTTTTTAGAAAGTGCTTTTAAGTGTCAAATTACGAATAAGGACATGGATAACTTTACTTAATAATTAATATTATAAGTAAATAAATAATATCAAAATTTTGTAATTACATGCAATAATTAAAAAAAATTCATTTTATTTAAGTAAAATATGAAAATAAAATTAAAAAGTACTTAATTCTTTTAATATAAGTTAAATATATTAAAATTCCTTCAACAAATATAAAAGCATTTACCCCTAAAGTCACTATATATTAGAAAGTTTCCTAAAAATAAGAAAAATATTTTTAAATTAATATCCTAAGTATTAAGTTTAAGGGTTATTTTGGTATATACTATATTTTGTTAATGGTATTTTAGGTAAAAAGAAAAGTCAAAACTGCTTCTGCTTTTGGAAAGAAACTACTTTTTTCTGCTTCTCTGAAACTGCTTCTGCTTCTTCCCAAAAGCACTTTTTTCCCAAATAAGCTTGGCCAAACACCTCAAATTAGGAAAAAAAGTGCTTTTGGGGAAAAACACTTTTTTGTCTTGAGAAGCTTGGCCAAACAGGCTATTAGAGAACTGGCCAGGAAATCTCATGTCCTGAGCAGTGCATCAGTTTATCAATAGAGGCTTCATAGACATAGTCGTTGGGTTAAGATTCAGATATTGTTGATAATAACTTAGCAGCATTTTATTGGTTACTACGAATAAAGTTTTGAAATTTGCTTATTTTAGATATTTAAATCATTCAAAAGTATTTGGTTACAGTAGTGCCTTGTGGCATATAAAGTTTGAGATTATAATAGATTTGATAAGCAGAGATGGTCTGCTCGGTCATGTTTAGTGATCGAGTGTCGGTCCCGGCTTGTTCAGAAAATGGGTCGTGACACTACACTTCCTATCTACCTCCTTCAACACACTTTGAGGAAGAATGAATACAGATCCCCAAAAGTTGTATATAGAGAAGAAAATTGAGTTTATTATCTGTAATCTCTCAGCATAGGAGAGTTGTTTGTATATGTCAATTTGATCCTATTAGTGATCTTATCTATTAGATGATGACATTCCAATTTACTCCACTTTCTTGAGGATAGTGGCAAGCCCAGATATCTGATTGGGAACTCTCCCATTGTGAATCCAGTTCTCTCTAGTAGCTGCTCCTTAACTTCTTCTGTCACCCCAACTAAAAATATACTGGACTTATCCATATTAGCTATCAAACCTGAAGCCTCACTAAAATGTTGTAATGCCTCTAGTACTCTTGACACAGACTTCACCTGTCCTTTGCAAAATATCATAAGATCATCACCAAAAATGAGATGTGTGAGTTTCAGCCCTTTACACATTGGATGGAATCTAAAGTTAGGCAACACACTCATTGTCTTCAAGGTTCTGGACAAGTATTCCATTACTAAAATGAATAGTAATGGTGAAGCAGGATCACCTTGTCTAAATCCCCTCTTTCCTTCAAAGAAGCCATGGCTCTCCCCATTTACTTTCACTGAGTACATTGTTATAGTAACACATGTCATCATCCAGTTAATGAACTTATTAAGGAACCCGAATCCTCTCATTGCATCCTCCGGGAATGGCCATTCTACCATATCATATGCCTTTCTCAAGTCAATCTTCATTAAGCATCTAGGTGATGTTCTCATATTGTAATGCCTCAACAAATCATGACATATTAACACATTATGCACCATCGACCTTCCTTGTACAAAAGCAGCTTGGTTTTCTGCCACTAAGTGTGCTACAGCAGTCTTTAGTCTACTACAAATCATCTTAAAGATACATTTGTAGAGTACATTGCAACATGATATTGGTCTATATTGGCTTGCAAACTCTGGACTATCCACTTTAGGAATAAGTGCAATAATTGTTGCATTCAGTTGCTTCAATAACCTTCCATTCTCAAAGAACTCCAGTATAGCTTCAGTGACTTCCTCTCCGAATAGACCATGTAGCTTTAAAGAAACCACTTCCATATCCATCTGGCCCAGGGCTCTTGTTGCTATCTATGTTAAACATTGCTTCATTGACATCCTTCCCATTGAAAGGTCTGATTAACTCAACCTGTTGTGGTATGGATAGTAAAGGTCCATTCTGAATTATGCTGGTACATAACCTCACACTTGAGTTCCCTCTAGTGCCCAATAGATCTGTGTAACAATCCACAAGCATATTAGCTATAACAGTTGGATCATTTTGCCAGATACCCTGTTCATCCTTAAGTTGTGTAGTAGTTTGCTGCAACCTTTTGTGTTTTATGACAGAATGGAAATATTTAGTGTTTTCATCCCCCAATCTCAACCATGTAGCCTTGCTCTTCTGCTGCAAATACACCTCAACCATATAGGATGATTTTCTAAACTTAGCATACATATTGGCCTCTTCCAGTTGTAACTCTCTATTGGTGGGATCTCTCTGTAGTCTTTCCCGAACCTCTTTAAGTGTTACCCTATCCATATTTGCCTCGGTCACAATGTTACTAAAGTGGTCTGCATTTAGCTTCTTTAAAGCCTTCTTGAGCATCTTGAGTTTTCTGACAATCTTAAACATCTTGCATCCTTCTACTTGAACTTCCCACCCTGCCTTCACTAAATCAGTAAATTGAGGATGTTGAGCCCAAACATTACTGTAGATGAATTGCTTTCTCATCCGTATTCTCCTATCCTCCAATGTCACCATGGCTGAACAATGATCACTAATGTCTTCTGCAAGAACCTTGCTCCGCAATCTGCATTACATCCAACCATGTGTTGTTGATGAATATCCAATCTAGTTTTGAAAAAATTCTCTGATTATTGTTTTTATCATTCCAAGTGTAGTGATTCCCTGAATGAGGAAACTCTATTAATTCACAGTCCTCAATACATGTGTGAAAATCTACTACATCAGCCCATTTTTTTAAGCAAATCCAAACAGGCTCTTAATAAATAAGCAGATGAAGTGTTTGGTTAAAAAGTGCTGATAAACTCTTTTTTTTTTGTTAAAATGACTTAAATAACCTTATAACTATTTACACTACTAAAGGCGTCACTCTCATCAAAATTTTAACTTCTAGATCGACTCAAATACAAAATAATTTATTTATCATGTTATTTTAAATACAAAAAGGATTAGATAATATCATTTTTTATGAGTATAATTTATATTATGATAAGTGTACGGTCATAAATTAGAATGGAAGAATTATAAATTAACAAAAGTTAGGAAAAAAATTTAAATAATGCACGAAGTATTTGTAGAGAAGAAAAAAGCACTTAATGTGTATCGTCTTTTCTCCAAGTATATACGTGATATTCTATCGGTATTGTTGCTTTTATCCCTCTTTATTACTTACTAGTGAACCTGTCGCGTTTCGCGCGATTATAAAGAACTCGTATATTTATTAAGTTATTTCTATCGGTATTGTTGCTTTTATTCCTCTTTATTACTTACTAGTGAACTTGTCGCGTTTCGCGCGATTATAAAGAACTCTTATATTTATTAAGTTATTTCTAATATTTAAATGATTAAAAGTAGCAAACAATAGGTTGTGAATAGCTATTTTATTTATGTCCTAGTTATTTCTTATCATATTTGGTTTAACAAAGGATAGGAGAAAGATAAAGAAAAGAGAGATTTATTTATTTATTTGTTTCGTATAAGATATTCATAATTTACTTTGTTGGTTGTTCGGTATAGTGCAAAGAAAATAAAAGAGAAGGTTTTTCATATTTGTCTAATTTAGAAGTAATATAAAATTTGAAATTCGTAAATAAAGGAACTTCTCGTCTACTTCTCTTGTGTTTATCTTTCAAAGAAAAATGGTCTTTTTCACACGTTTTAAAAATTTCATCCTTTTTTTTTTACCTCAAACAAAGATGGTTCCAATTGATGTGACTATATGATATTTGATAGAAATTTATCTTGAGCAAGTTTAGATAAGCGTCTTGGTGTTTTGACCTTTACGATTGGAATAATGATTTATTAGCACATTAATCAATAGCAGCGAAAAAAAATCAATAGCAATCAAGATTTGTTCACAAAAAAATAATTGTTGAGTAAGTTTTTGATATGTTACTTGATGTTGGCCAAGAAATCAAAATATTTTTCATAAATCAAAAGAAAACATTTCAAAGAAAGAATATTATTGTGTTTGGGTAGAAACTAAAATGTTAAAGCACGAATTATTTTCAGAATGAAGTTCTCAGAAATTTTTCCTACAAAACATTTTTAAAAATCTGTCCAAACACTAATAGAACAACAGTTGTATGTGAAAATGGTGATTGATCATTGAAGTGGTGAAACAGAAAATAGAATGTGTTTTCAAATAGTTCTTTCTCCTTGTTTTCAAAAATGTCTTCAACAATATATTTTCAAAAAGTTTTCCTTTCCGGCTCTAAAAGAACAACACTTGTGTCCAAATGGTGATTGAGACAGCGAAACAGATATTCGTGTGTTTGTTCTAAATAATTACTTGCTCCTTCTTCTATTAATATATTTTTTTACTTTTTTTTTTCTTCCTTTGTCTTTTCATTTTGATTTCCTTTCTTCTCATCTCTCCATACTTGCCACTTATTCAGAAAAAACTAAAACCACTAAATACAAGAAAAATCCCTTTTCCTGGAAAATCAAACTAATATACTAAAAGTATTCTGTAAAATCAAAATTTTAAGTAAACTTTTCTTGTTGAACTTACCCATTGCAGTCTTATTTTAAGACGTCATTTTTCTAGCTTCTTGTCCCCTTAGTTTATAAATTATCACTGAAGATTCTTGCACAATGAAACCATTCCAAAACATGTTACAGAAATTGATCATCAATAAAGTGATGTTAAGTAAAATACTTTTTATCCAAGGAAAAAGAATCCAAATCAATTAAAAAGTCTCAAGTTTAACCATTTATAAAAAGCCACATGTAGGGTTTGTGATCATTTCACCCATCATATGCCACACGATCAATCAAATATATCATGTTGCTATATGTTTACACCATGGGCAAAAGAAATCACATGATCCGAATAAGAGTTGTCATCCTACTTTATACTTTTTAAAGAGCTTCTTATCCTATACAAAAAGAAAATAAGAAATTAAATATGTTTTAGACCGAAAACATTAACGGATAAAAGTCTCATGGCAAGAATATGAAAATTAGCATCTCTACCATTCTCCTGAAAATCAAATATAAGAAATTAGTAACAACAAAGAATACAGATATAAGTGAGAGAAAGAGAGAAGAGATAACAATTACTACATCATAGACTGTCATACAAAAGTGTATAACAAACAAACTTTAAGGATTTCTTTAGTGTCTTGGTACGAACACGACCAATTGCAGTTTTTTGAGAAATTTAGGGAGACTGATTGTTTTCTTAGGGACATTTATTGAGGATTTCTTCAAACTTGGTAGGGAAGTAATTGCTTTTTGTAGAAACTGATTGCTTGGTTAGAGACGTTATTTTTGTTTGAAATTGTAACTTGTAAGATTACCATAACTGCTCTCTTAATAGTCACATGAGGTGGTGATTTTTGGACTTTTAGAGATAGCAGAAAATAGTAAAAAATAGGATAAAAGTCAAAAAATTGACAAAATAGATAATTGAGTTTCCTATGCAAATAGAGATGCCATATCAGCGGACCAATTCCCAATTTTATATAGACTAGTATTAGGGGTACGCNTTTATATATCTTATTATGATTTATGAGATAATATATATCTTATGAAAATTATTGTTATCTTTATTACCAAATACTATAAACAAATAACAAAAAAATACTTTAAAATAATTATTCAAAGATAATAAAATAAATTGAAGAATTTGAATCTTTGGGTCTTTTAGAAATTTGTGAGCGTAGAGATAGAACTATAGCTCCTAGAAACCCATAGATAAATAACAATATAAAGTATGAAATAGCTAATATTGAATTATAAAAAATGATGTAATACGATATGAAAAATATAGGGAGCTACGTTTATTAAAATAAAAATAAAAAGAAAGAAAAATGATAAGGGTAATTTTTGTGATTTTTTTTGTCTTGGGTTATATCCTTATTGCTTCAACTTAACATTTTAGCAATTTAACTTTTAATACTATATTATAATAAATTTTTCTCTATTTTCTTATTTCTTTCACGGCAATTGCTCTTATTGTGTAAAATAATTTGTGTACCTTAAGAGTTTTATCAACTTGACAAATAAGTTTACTTACATAATAATTTTAAAACAAAATTGAATTGACTTTTCCGTTGCTTTATTAATTCAAAGACTTAATTATTTGTTGAGATTTTATGCTTTTTTGATAGTATAGAAGATACAAATTATTTTCAAACTATTCTCCTACTCGAGCATAATATTATTCTCTTTATCGATTTTATGTAATATTGAAAACTACATTTAATAATTAGAACAAATATTTAATTAGGTAATGTTAGAATTATAGGTTCCCTAATAAGAGGAATCAATGTAAACATATTTCTATGGAAATCACGTGAGTATATAAGGAAAAGAAACGTAATACTCTTAATTAATTCTCTTAAATAATATCTATTTTAAAGTCCTTAATATTGGGGTTTCTTATTTAATTCAATAATGAAAAATCTAATAATCAAATTTTAGTTTCCTTTAAAGTCCTAAATATTAAGATAATAATTAAATGACTATTTTGTCTAGTGTGAGCTCTATTTTAAACAGATAAAAAAAGACAAACGATATTTCGCTAAGGGCCTTCGTGTTTTTAATATAGTATAGATATATAGACTAGTTACTGAAAACAAGAGAACATATGAAAACAAAACTAAAGTCCCACAATAAAATTATACAACTAAGAGTAGAAATCTCTTACTTGAGGCTAACAATTAATACACGACACATAGGTATAACAATAGGGAATATACCAACTATGTCCATTTATAAGTAGCTTATTATAAAAATTGGCCAATTCCAAACATATTAGCCAATTAGCTATTTATAGCCAAAAAAGGTCAAAATTTTGCTTTCTTTTGAGTGAGTGTTGTTAGAACAGATTAAGTACATTTTAAGGAGCTTGAACCCCAGTTTCAGGATGATTTGGTGAAGTTTTGAGGTGGTTTGAATTGAAAATTCGAAGTTGAAGATGAACATACAAAAAGATAGGTGTATCACACTATGTATCATATTTGTATCAAATGTGTATCACATGTATATCCATGTACAATTGCGTGTGAAATACACGTGTCGAAGAAAAAAAATTTGAACTCGATTTTAACTACGAATTTTGGTATTAAATCAATCCAAATCACCTCCAATCTTCCCCAAAATTTGTATATTGACTCATCTATATGTTTTCAATGAATCTCAACCATACCCATTGAAAAAAAAATATTTTTTGCTTAAATTTTTGAAATCTTGGATATATATATTTTTTATATTTCATCACCTTATTTGTTACTTCACCCATGAAATTTCCTTTACGTCTTGCATCTAATATTGCTAATCATGCTTAAAATATGGAAGGAGATCTTTGTGTATGTTTCTTGGATAGAAAGAACCTTATTTCTTTGGATTTTCAATTTTTATATGTGTCTGGCTAGTTTTGGTAAGTCTATGATTAAGGGCTAGAAGTTGGTAAGTGAAGAATTTTTTGGGACATAAGTGTTTTGGAAAATATTTTCTTCATGAACTCATTTTTATTCAATTGGAGGAAAATGTTTTCCCTATCAAAAGAA